GTATTAATCCACCTCCAAGAGCGAAATATATCCGAAGTGAGTGAGAATCATCATGAATGTGTGACATTTTGATCTGTATTTAGAGCCGATTACTAGATGTTACACTCAGTAATGATGTATTATTATTTGTGAAAGGCGAATCGATGCCCCTCTCTTAAAACATTCTTCATTCGTTGACATCCTTCCTTCCTCGCAGCTAACGATGCTAGCCAATGGCATGAATCATTCAGCTCCATTGAAGATTATAACGTGGAGGTGATATTAAGGCATGTTAAATATTTGTTATTCATTCAAAATATTATTGAATTATAGCACTGATGTATGAGTTGACTCGTTTACAAAATCACATAATGGGTATAACAACACACGCATTGGATGTGGGTGCAATGACACCGTTATTTTGGATGTTCGAAGAGCGTGAAAAGTTATTCGAGTTCACGTGAGTTCCACATATGTTTATAATCAATGATAACTGAAAATTAGAAACTATCAACTATCAAGTTTATAATCAAAATTAGAAACTGTTTATAATCAATGAGTATCAAATTTGTAGTGAACGAGCGTCAGGTGCTCGTATGCACGCGAATTATGTGCGTCCAGGTGGTGTAGCATGGGATATTCCTTTGGGTTGGCTGGACGATGTCTACGATTGGGCCACCAAGTTCCCGGAAAGAATCGACGAACTCGAGGATATGCTCACTGAAAATCGTATTTGGAAGGTTGATAACAAAATGATGATTGATTATTCAGCGAATGAATTTCTTCCATTAGTGTGTGATCGTCTCTAAAAGAAAATTTGACATTATTTGCTGCGTTTGACATTGCGAAAGACTGCCGAGTGGTGATTTTCAAATCGACTTTATAATATGATCGATGAAGAACAGAGTATATCCGTTTGATGATTTTGTTCAATCCATTGCTGATGTTCTCTTGATTCAGATCTTCTTTGTAGGCTCGAACAATGGATGTGGGTATTGTGTCAGCAGATGACGCGATGAATTGGGGCTTCACAGGTGTGATGCTACGAGGATCTGGCGTGAAGTGGGACGTGCGTAAGGCACAGCCATACGATGCTTATGCTGATTTAGAATTTGATGTGCCCATCGGTGTGAAGGGCGATAGCTATGATCGGTAAGTGCGTTTTATCAACTCTTGGTAATTTGGATCGATCGATAGTCAGTTGATCTCACTTAAGTCTGATTTTTCTTTTGAATATTCAAAATTCTCAAATGATTTTATGAAAAGATGACTGTAATTAAGCACTGTAATTTTAGTTATTTGTGTCGAGTCGAAGAAATGCGTCAAAGTCTACGACTCGTTCAGCAATGTGCCAGCAAGATGCCTGCAGGTGAAACGAGAGTAGACGATCATAAGGTTGTGCCTCCGAGACGAGCCGAAATGAAGGTAAATCTTGAGTTGATACAACGGCTGATCACCGATAAAAACATTCATAAACATTCGTAATGATATCAAATTTTATAACTTATTGCACTGATGTGTAACGTCTTACGTTTAAGTCGAGTATGGAATCGCTCATTCATCACTTCAAATTCTTCACTGAAGGCTATCAAGTACCACCCGGTGCTACCTACGTCCCGATTGAGGCACCTAAAGGTGAATTCGGTGTATATTTGGTCGCTGATGGAACTTCGAAACCATATCGTTGCTACATCAGAGCGCCTGGGTGAGTTAACAATCATATTGCGGAATATTGAATGTAGTATCAAATATCTTAAGAAGTGTGAAGTTTTGAAATCAATAATACTATGAAGTTAAGTGAATATGAATATTACGAATGAATGAGGAAATCATATAATCACATATGCAAGTGCACCATAAACTTGTCTTGATAATCGCCAGGTGGAAAAATATACCAATGAACATCTGAATACCAGACTACGAGAATAGTAGAAGTAGGGACGAAATTATAGGGAAGCGGAGCAGAATGGCGACTGATCCATCCGTGCCGCGCACCTAGCC